AGCACTTCGTACAAAATGTTTGTTGACTCTTCCCGGACTAATCGGAATCACGCATGGCGGACAACTACAAAGGACTAAAGTCTTCCCAAAACCTTCCTGTCACCAGCATTGTTCCCTTTGCAGCCACCCACGAGATATGAACGGGAAAACCACACAACTGGGAATGCAAGATCCGTGAAAAATGAATAGAGAAATACTGACAGGCCCATTGAACGGTGCGGCTCAGTTGCTCTTCTCTCAAGCCAACTGTGTTACCAACCACCCTGAGCAGCGCCTCTTGAAGATCAAAGGCCCATAATGGCAGCGGTTGAGAACATCCAAGCGGCATTGTACAGGCATTGGGGCCCTCTTTTGAGGCGGCCCTTGACAGCCATAGGACCTCCCTGTAGGATTCAATCGTGTCTTATGCGGCACAGGCGAAACAAGAAGCACGGTCGTGACTCCAAAGATCAGATCCCTCGACTGTTGCCAAGCAACATGCCGGTAGACCAGGGTCAAGCAAGTATTGGTCATGATTGCAGAGGTCGTTTCGCAAATTTGCCTTACGCACGTTGATTGGAGGGGAGCCCAAGATTCCTCTCAACCGCTGTGGCGCCCGGGCGTTCCGCTGTGGCGTTAAACATCCCACGACCATCGGCCCGCCCACCTCAGCTCAACGAAGCAGCGGACAACCCCAAACCACTTGCCCCAATGGAAAATGTATGCCGAGTCCAGTACCTCATTTGGAGAAGGTTGTGATCTTCTGAAGATCCTTTTGGCCCGCTCCCTGAACTGTTGTTGCTTCTTTGCGTTCCCTCTTGAAGTAAGTGGAGGGAAATCTCTTTGACTCGAATTTACTTGACTTGGAGTCCACGTCCTTGATTGGCACCCTCCCTCGGGAGTCTAAATGTGCTTATGTGTCTGTGCCTGTGCGCATGTGCATGTGCATGTGTGTGTGTGTGCATGTGTGTGTGTGTGTGGATGTTTGTTGCTGTACTGCCTGCGTACTGTGGTCATATTGGCAAGACCACTTTCCCCGTTGTTCCGATTGTTCAGGCCACGTTTGAAGGAGTTGCCTTGCTGATGATCATGAGGAGTGCTTGGCGATTGAGTTATCATACGGGTTGTTAAGCATTTTGAATTGTAGCTTCGCATGCTGTTTGGTCAGACTGTCAAATAACAAGTCGAATCATTGCGTGGCTAGCAGTGGTTCGCAATCCAGCCATCGAGCAAGGCTTTGTTGGTTTGTTCGAAGCCCCAAAACTCATGGTTTACGTTTGGCTTCTCGTTTTTTTGCCAACAAAGAGGGCGCCGGGCACCCTCCGAAAAAGATTGAGATTGGCCTCACATTGGGGGCGCCGGCCACACCCGCGAGGATGTCCGCATTCCTGAGCTCCCCAAAGCAATAGGCATGGAGACTCGAAAAGAGTAGGCAAATAATCCTCCGATGCCCCACGTGGCGGCATGCTTCGGGGGTATGCTTCGGGGTATGCTTCGGGGCCGTTCTTTGCCGAGGAATATAAAGCCAAGTCCTTTGGCAGAATCCTTGGAACCATAGTTTTTGAACGAGGTGCTACAAGGCTACAAGCACACTTTGGCAGCTCCAGCCGGAAAATCACAACTTGTCAGTACAAGCGCAGCGCGCAAAGGACACCCTGGCAGCTACAGCTGCAAAACGCAACCTTTCAGCACAAGCGCAACACACAAAGTACACGTTGGCAGCTCCAGTGTGCGAAGTGCACTTTGGCAGCTCCAGCTCAGAAAATCGCACCACTCAACACCTCTACTATGCGCGCTTCCACAGAACCGCTGCGCCAGCACGACTCTCCCGATTTGATTGTAAGCGCACGGTTAGCCCAGATGCTGCGCACCTTGTTTTCAAGCGCCGCTGTCGGAGCTGTCGTCAGAGCCTGAGCTCGCGGATGCCTCTTCGAGGTTCACTGCGAGAACTCGTTTCTGCCTTCGGTACTTCCTCTTCTGGTGCTCCTGCCTTTTTTCTCTTTTTCGAAGGGCCACCAGGAACGGATCCCGCCGGGAAACTCTTGTTAGGTCCGCAAAAGCTTGTTGTTTCTCCTTGCGCCTCTGCAGCAAAGCAATATTCAGAGGCGATCTTTTCGGCATTGCAGCTCTATAGGACACCCTCCACTCGTCTGTGACCTTGCTTTTCAGAACTTTGGCGCGACCAGCCAGATCTCCACCCTTTCCGCTTGCAGCCCGATCTGAAAACCAATAGTTCCAGACTCGCACGTGGCCACCACTTGCCTGGTCGAACTGCACACAGTACGTGTATTCGATTTGGAAGCCGGTGCCGCTCACATCAA